CTGGCCTATTGGATTTGAGGAGAAAGAAGGCCCTTATTTGACAGGAGCTGTGGGTTCATTTTGCATACTTAGAAAGTAAGAGAACAATGTGGAACCAGATGACAGAGTACTTTAAATATTAGCCTAAAAATATGAAATGATGGAAATATTCTCTCAATTCATATGACATTTACAGCATGGAAAGCACATTCACAAATCCTATCCATTATCTCACATACAGATTACTTCCTACAGTTGTATCTGTTTTATTTATTAATAAATACCTATTAATAGAAATATGCCTGCTTTTGGTTGCCCTCTACTGTGCCTTTCCATAAGTTGGTTTTTATATTTTGTTTTCTACAAGAGGGTTGGCAGGCTGGCATCTCCTCTGCCGTTGCCAGAAGCAAAAGTGCAGTGTAACTTATATAGAGATGAAGAGACCATAAATAGGAGTGTTAAGTGAAGCACAAATTAACAGAGAACCCAGGAGATTCAAGAATTCGGTTAATTCAAGAGGCAATCTAAAGGCTTAGCATATTAAAGTCAGAAGGGACTTAGACACCATCAAGTCCAACCTCCTCTCAATTCTAATGAGAAAACTTAAGCTTTCAATCTCCAGCCTCCAAATCCAAAGCTCTTCTTACAAAACGACAAGATTTAGATGCCTCAGCAAAGAATTTTTCAAAATGCTTGTGTTGTTTCATCATTGAGTTACTCTTTTTTTTTTTTTTACATGAAATTCTCCATACCTAAAACAAAGCAAGACTGCTCTAGGTGAAGGTGGTACCTCCCGAGAATCCTCAGAGCTTCATAGAATTGAATTTGAAAACCCTCGTTAGGATGATGAGTGCTGTGGTGTAGGGAGTGGATAAGAGCCTGAAGTCAGAGGAGGGGAGATTCTCAGGGCTGAACAAAGATCAAATCTGGACCCTACCCCAGAACACAGTATGAATATTTCCTGTAAAGATGGTCTCTCCCTTCAGTGACTTCTACAATTGGGAAGTCAGATGTTTAAGAGAAGATTGTAACAATAAATTAGAAGACTCTCTGCAATAAGGTTGGAAAATGAGTAGTTCAAGTGCGAGTACTGGGAATGTTTCATTCAAGGTCAAGATAGCTGAGAATATCTCAATGATTCTGTCAACAGTACAAGAAATTGAGATAAAGAGAGAAAGATTTGGGAAGCAACTATATAGTATATAGGTTGTAAACTGAAGCCAAGTAATTATCTTCAGTCTCATAAAGTCCCACTACCAATAAACTTATGAAGCAATGTTAGCCAAACCACTGCCTTCCCTGGAAATGATTCATCTTCTCCAAGACTGTGTAAGCAACCAGAAATAATTTTGAATGACTACAGGTAATCTTTGTAATAGAAATTTATTTTTTCCCCATTATATCCTTTCTTTAAAAATTTTTAAGTTCTAAGGTTCATGATGGCATTTCTTTCTATGAGAAATTTCTGTTTTTGAAGAGTCAGAGAGACAAATACCTCTGAGAATTGTTTGACCACTAAATTCAAATTTTATCTGTCTGCAATATAAACTATTATTGGATAAGATGCTTACACAATTCCAGTGGTTGGAATACGCAGACATTGATTTAGGTCATTTCTGGCAGTTATTGAACAAAATATTGAAATGAAGAGATTGTTCATTTATCCAAGAGACTAACAATGTCACAGGGTCAAATTCTAACACAACCGTTTAACCTTCTATTTGAATTTATAGCTTGAGAACAAGACTTAAGTTGTCTTGGGGGAGGGATTCCTGTGTTTCAAACCTTGAAAGAACATGATGGCCCAAATGGATGGGTCTGTTTTAATATGTGGATGTGGTTAATGCCACATATGTTTAATATGTGGGATCTACGTATATCTACATATATTACAAAAAAAGAAATTTAGATATAACCTTCTTTCTGAAATAATAGTGCTGAACCAACCTGTTTAGGCCTTCCTCAGAGCTATTATTTAGACTTGGAGTTATAATATGTAGTTGAACCTAGATATTAAGTGATAAAGACCATGGACTCACATGCATTATCCAAAAAAAAAAAAAAAACCAATGTTTTCTATAATGCACTAAAATGGACTATCTGTTATCCAAGGACTTTGAGCTGTATGACCCAAAGAGATATGGAGAGATAGGAACAAGTCCCATTAGGCACAGGACTTTATTTTGGTACAAAAAACTCACCCACTTAGGTATGATTCATCTAATCTAAGTGAGTGGCAGCAGAAACCTTCACTGTGTGGGCTTTTGCCCTGTAGATTTGCAATTGGCATATTAAAAGGAAGATTGTCTCATTCTTTGCCATTTATATAATAGGACATTCCATTTCTGATCTCCCTGGGCCCATCTCCAGATATTCACTTCAAAAGGAATATGTTCACATCATTTCAGATTGGGCTTCTGTGAACTTATTTTACTTTAAAAACAAAGTAAGTACCTGATGATGTCTTGCAAAGGATGAATTAGTTATTGATTTCACCTTGGCCAGCACAAATAACTACCATTGAACATTCTTGTCTGGCACCTTAACCTCCATAACCTGTTGGAAGAGACAGAATGAGCCCTCAGAAGTGTTTAATTAGTTAGAACTTTGCAAGGTCTTTTCAAAATCCTCTCAAGGCCCTCCCTTCCCTGCCTCACCTCCTTTTTTGAGATTGCAAGGTTTTGCTTCCAGCTTTGTCTATTTTTGAAAGAAAGCAATGAATAAGCCCAAGTGTTACAGGAAATCTATGACATTGAAATCTCTGTCTCTGTACATGGTTTTGATGTTTCCTTTTTGAACTTCAACTCGACATTGCTTCATAAGTTACATTTGCCCTTCCATTTTTTTTTCCTCACTCTCTTTGAAAAGTTTGGCTTAGTTGTTAATATTCCACAGATTTCTGCAGCTTTTCTTGTTTGCTTTGTTTTCATGGACGCTATGGGGGGTAAATATTCAGCAGGTTGAATGTGAAATAAGGCACACAACTGCCATTACCCCTATCAGGGTTGCACATCAAAGTCTCCAAACAGAGAACTGAAAAGGTATCTACCTTTTGAGCTCCCTTTGCGTTAATAGCAGGAAGATACAAAACAACTGCAGACTTGCAGCGCTTTCAAGGATGAAGGTTATAACCTTTCCTTCAACTTAATGCTTGTTGATTTTATAACTTTTTTTGAAAGTTGACCCTTTCGGCCTCCCTGCATATGCAGCAATGCGTCATCCCCATCAGCAGAGGATTTGTAAAATTGTGTTTTGCTCTTTCAAAAACATGACATTGCTTATAGACGGCGAAAGGAAGAAGCAGTATTTACTCAGGAACCTAGAGACCTCTGCTGGTAAAGTGACTTGATGAGTGTTTTTCTAGTTTTGTTTATTATTAAGAAGGTAAGATAGCTTGGCCGCAGTTCTACTAATTTCCTTTTGAATTAAATTATGAATGGTTTGGATCCTCACTGAATGAGGATACTGAGGTCAAGTCAGCTAAGAGACAGGCTAAGAATATCGAGTAGCATCTTCTAATTAAGTACTGATATCAACTCTACTAGGTTTATATTGGTAGGCATTACACTATAGAAATGCCCTGTGAGAAGATAACATTCCAGAATGATACTATGATTCTTTTCTGCTGAAGGTCTTCTGCCTAAATACACTTGTTGTTACATTTAACAATAGTGTGAATTGTGCTTTAGGCAAGGCTTGATATTTATGAAAACTTTTTATGGAATGTGAAATTAACATTGTCTTTATCGCCACTAAGAAGGAGGAAAGAAAACATGACTTCAACTGAAGCATGAGAAATGTGGCGTAATTTTGGTGGTGGGAGTGGTTTAGGGCAGCGGGCAATGTGGGAATTATGTGCTGCCATGGATTCCTATGTCAAACTGTGGGCAGGACTAGATTTCCTAAGAAGGTTTTGGTAAAAATCAGGACTTATTCAGAGATTTGGGCTTCTGGGGCCATACTCTTGTGGGTAACATTCTATCAATATGGAATAAGTCAATAATAAAAAATGATAATAGTCTTGACAGAGAAAGAAGTCACAAAAATTATATAAGGGTGAGAATGAAGTAGATTTATTAGGGACAGACTAAGCTACTGTAACAGGGAGACCTCAAAATACAGTGGCTTAAATAAGAACGTTATTTCTCCCTCACATATCTCTCTAAAAATAGGCAGGTGGGAGGGCCAGCCCAGTGGCATAGTGGTTAAGTTTGCACACTCTGCTTTGGTAGCCCGGGGTTCACAGGTTCGGATCCTGGGCACTGAGCTATACACTGCTCATCAGGGCATGCTGTGGTGGCATACCATTATTACAAAATAGAGGAAGATTGGCACAGATGTTAGCTCAGGGCCAATCTTCCTCACTAAAAAAAAATTAATTAATTAAAATAATAGGCAGGAGGGTCTGAGGCTGCAAGGTCCAAGGCTGGCAGGTCATCATTTCCATCTTACTTAGCTTCCATCTCTGAGTCCAAGGCTGTTTCAGTTGTTACTTTTTTCCAATCAGTGGGAAGGGGTAATGAGAATCAAGGGCAAGTATCTTTAAGTAAATAACCTGGAAATTCCTCTCACTGCTTTCATTCACGGACCATTGGCATGAACTTATTTACATGGTTAACTCTAGCTGCAAAAGAATCTGGGAAATTTAGTGTGTAGCTAGGAAAACATGAGCCTAGCCAAAAATGTTGGGGCAGTGTGGGAGATTTTTCCTACTAAAAGGAAGAATAGATACTTGGGAGACAGGGATAGTTAATTTTGCTATGTAGTAGTTATAGTCATTCTGCCTTTAGTGATTAAAAGAGTAGCCACATGGGCCACAAAAATAGGGCATTCAGAGTTGGACAAAGGATGGGATGTCTTCTTAAAGCACCCCTGAACTTATACTCAGCCTTGTAATTTGCATAACGTCTGGAAAAGGAATTTTCTTATAAACCTACTTTTGTCCCTTGATTGCGTATGGTAAAAAGTGACTGAACATACACTGAATGTACATCTTCTCTTTGCTTTTTGAACTGCTATAGCTCAACCTAATTGGATTCAAAAAATAAATGATATCCATGTGGCCATTGAAGAAAATGTCTTTTGGGAATGTAAAGCCAATGGCAGACCCAAACCTACATACAGGTGGCTAAAAAATGGTGAAGCACTGTTAACTCAGGTAAGCAATTGATGATAATTGTGTCTTAGTATTGACTGTAATGGTTACTGTGTCCTCATTGCTCAGGAAATAGGAAAATGGTGAGTTGTTTCCAAAATAATTTGCAACTAAATGCCATTGATAGTGGAAAAAGTGAAAGTGAATGCAGTTGGTAAATAGAAACTGTACATAAATCAAATTCTTCAGCCTTGTTCTTCTTCAGCCTTCTTAAGCTCCTATGCTAGGTCCTTGGTCTTCACAGATTAACACCTCTGGCTTTACAATTGGAAAGTTGTGCAGAAGGTCTGGTACATGTAGTAGTGCTAAGATACAAATCTGTATGTGCACTAAACAAGAGCGAGTGAAGGAGTAAGACCTCTCAGCATTCCAATTCCCTTCTCAGTGTGGTGTGTCATTTCTTCATCTGGGGCGACTTCTGGACAACATGGTGCAATAAGATCATCATCAAAATATCAATTCTGCCTCAAACGTGTAGCAATGACATATTCAAATGCAAGATTAACTTCTCTAATACAACAGAAATAGAACAAAAACTAAAAGTGATGACTGGAGCTGGAGGCACCAGCCTGTAGGCCTGGGAGCAGGCAGTGGTAGCTGGGAGCTTAGGTTAAAAAAAAATCTTCTCTAGAGACAGGATACAAAATTTTTGGAGTGAAGGCTTTGGAGATAAATCCCCCCACCTACTGCTGCCCAGTGAAAGAAGCAGCCAAACTGCCCCTGCCTGGCTTACTGGGATGCTGTGGTGGAAGAGAGGTGGAAGGCACTGGGCCGTGCTTCCCACTGGCCCTGGGATGCGAGCTGCAGTCATCCCAGTGTCCTCACCTCAGGACCTGGGAGAAGCTAGGAGCACGTCTGTTTCTGGACTGGCGGCCCAGGCGATGAGGTGGAGCAGCCGCAAAACTGCTAAACAGTGGGAAAAAGACAAACAAAAATAACTCCTTTTCAGAAATAAGCTTGCAAAACCAATATTCCAAAATGTAAGCAAAAATTTATTTTTTAGAAAGATAACCAACCTATAGAACAGTCTAACAAAGAGATAGGAATGTCTGTTTAGGAGGCTCAAAGAGGTAAATGAAAGAACCATGTCCATAAAAATAAACAAGATATTTTGAAAAGATAAGCAGATAGATTTTTTTTAAAGAACAAAATGGAAATTTTAGAACTATATAACCATTGAAATAAAAATTCTGCTCAAACTATTCATTTTGTAAGGGGAAATGATAGGTTGTAATACTATTCACAAAGGATTTGGAAGGCATACTTCTCAAACACTTTTAACAAATGCTAACCTATCTTACCACTTCAAACACATTGTCTCATCTGATATTCACAAGGAACCTTATGAGATAAGTGCTATTTTTACACCCATTTTGCAGACAAGGAAACCAACTTGTCTGTAAAATGGGCATAACAGAGCAATTTGCCTAAGATCACATCCATCATTAGTAAGTAATGGAGCCTGGATCCAAATATTCAATGTCTGCTGGATGCATAACTGCCTCAGGTTGCCTGAATAAGGTTTTTAGAATTGGTTATATGGAAAATTTCTTCAGGAAAAGGGATGAGGAGGAAGAGATATGGCTCAAAGGGAAGAAAAGCTTAAATGCTCTTTGAAAGTATTTCAAACATCACTCTCTGTCTTTGGATTTTCTAAAAACAGACTCTGAGGCAGAGATTGCATGCAGGAGATATATTGGGAATGCTCCCGGGAGCCTCACCTATGAAGGAGTCAGGGAAGTCATATTGGGCAAAGGGAGATTAAACAGTGATGCACTTGCAACAGAGGTCTTCAGGGGTTGCTCTGGAGCCCAAGGTCCTTCAGAATTTCTCAAATTGAGGCAAGGGGGCCCTGCTGTTGCACTCCTGCTCTCAATGACCAGGTATTGGATTTGGGAAGTTTTTTTCAGCCAAGGGCAGTTCCCAGACAGAGACTTGGATATGAGCAGTCATCACTCTTAGCAGCTGGAAGAATAAGTACCTTGGTTCTGGAACGAGTACCTGGAAGGTACATCTAAGAATCCAGAAGGGATGGATCCTATACAGCATACTATACTACTCCATCTAATGCAGCAGACCCTGACAAAGAACTTGGAACAAGGCAGGGGGAGGGTAGGGAAGGACCTTAGAGTGAGAAATAAGTGTATCCAATTTAACTCTCCTTATTGTATTTTCTCAAATGTTCACTCAAATGTTCACTGAAGTTTGACATTTTCCTCAGGGCCCAAGTTGAGAGCCAGTTCTTTGTGCTCAGATTTCTTCCTGTTAGGCCACACAGGAAGGAGTCCTGGTCTGAGCAATGGCTTAGCTGTCAATGTGCACAACAGCAGAAAGGGGGCTGATGTGCCCAACCTCTGCCCTGTCGCATACACTTCCTCCTGTCACTGGAAAGGGCTCCTGCTCAGCCCATGATTCTCCCAAATTATAAAAGCCAAACTCAAACAAATCGCTAGAGTGTAGGTACCCAGTGAACCAGCATTTTCCTCCCTTTATTTAATATGAGGGAACATGGATGCCTAGATTCGATCAAAGCCTAATAAGGTGTCAGCCCAGCTAAACTGCAGACCTAAGGCAAATGGAAAACCAATGCATCTTTATATTTTATATTTTTATTTTTATTTTTATTTATTTTTTTTTTTTTTAAAGATTTTATTTTTTCCTTTTTCTCCCCAAAGCCCCCCGGTACATAGTTGTGTATTCTTCGTTGTGGGTTCCTCTAGTTGTGGCATGTGGGACGCTGCCTCAGCGTGGTCTGACGAGCAGTGCCATGTCCGCGCCCAGGATTCGAACCGACGAAACACTGGGCCGCCTGCAGCGGAGCGCGCAAACTTAACCACTCGGCCACGGGGCCAGCCCCTATATTTTATATTTTTAAATGGCAGGTCTCCTGGGAAGAAGGAGATCCTTCTTGGTACTTATGAAAATTGATAAGGCAAGTTAGGTATCCTCAGGCTGACAAATGAAAATGGTCTGTTGTTCCATATAATAATTTTGCTTTCTTCAGATTTGCTACCAGCGGATGGTTCTAAGCTTAGCTCATGCCACTGACAACAATAGAGAAAGGGAACATTAAACTATTAATATCTACTTTTTTTTTGGTAAGCCTCAACCAATATTAAATATTTGCTTCTGCTTTATCCAAGATTACAATTCTATTAACCTTCAAAGTGTTGTCTGCTCATAATCCGAGTGTTTTAAATACTTTAAACAGTAAATTTGGTTTTATTTCTCACTCCCCAACCCCTAGTTAGCACAAAGCCCTAAAAGCATTTTAAATTTCAGATTCATGTATTTAGAGGGAATATCAATCTGAATGGTTTCACTATTAAATCAATGAGAACTCAAGAGAGTCCTGCAATTTAAGTTCCATTTACCAACTGATGTACGAGTTGTTCCATTTAGCATCTGACCCGCCACAAATTTAGTTGACAGATAAATAGATCATGTTATATAAATTGCTTATATGATGGCTAGTTTATTCTCATTAAGCCCCTTTGATATAACTTGTAGCAAAAGTGCCGTAAGGTCTCAATTGTAGGTCAATGCTTTGTGTTCCTTTTTCTTTCACAGGAAAGAATTCAAATCGAACAAGGAACACTCAACATAACAATAGTGAACCTCTCGGATGCTGGCATGTATCAGTGTGTGGCAGAGAATAAACATGGAGTTATTTTTTCCAGCGCAGAGCTTAGTGTTATAGGTGAGTCTTTATGCTGGACAGAAAAAAAATAGAAACTCTTTAAGTCACTAAACTAACATGAGCTTTGCCTCACATCAGTGTTCAATCTAAGGAAAAGGGTAAAGAAATCTTTAAACCAAAGATATTACTTGAGAAACAAGTAATGCATTCTACAAGCAATAAGAAGAGACCACTTTCTAAATCAGCCTCTTCTGATGCTTACAATGGGTAATATAGTTCCCCTGGCACTCGTATTTATTCCTGTATTGACCACCCTTCTAAATTGACAAAATTTCTGAAATGCTTTGGAGTCTGTTGCTATCATTCTGATTTGATGCAAACTTAGCTTGGAAGGAGGAAGAGCTGATCTGGTTTGGAAAGTTTTATTTGAACAGCTGGCAGAGTGAATCTTGTTCTTCAACATCTGAATTTTCCAGGCTATGTCCTACTGGTCTGCCCCTCCAGCTACCTCTTTCATCATGTGACCCCCCCCCCTGCCCCCCCGCCCCCCCGCCATGCTCTTCAGCTCTACTGACCTTTCTGTTCTGCATATTCACCATCCTCCCTTCCTCCACAGGGCCACTGGCACATACTGTTCCTTCTACATGGAATGCTTTTCCTTTTCCTCTTCATTTCATTAACTCCTTCCCATTCACCATCTCCCAACTCCATTATTGCTTCCTCAGAAGGTCATACCTGGCCCTCTGCCTAGGTCAACTCCTCTCTTACAAGTTTTAGTACTGCCTTTTAACTTTCCTTTATAACAGTTGCCACAGTTACATTTTACATTTGTGTGATTTTTCTGTCTTTTTCTCCCATTGCACTTTAACTTCCCCAAGATGTCATGCACAGTATTTGGTTTAACTCATTATTTGGTCCTCAGGACTTAATACAGTATTGAAGCACATAGTATGCACTCAATAAATATTGAATGAGTGTAAGAATGAATGAATGTGGTAAGCAGTGAAGGAGTTGAGAGACTTTTTTTTTTAAAGATTGGCACCTAAGCTAACATCTCTTGCCAATCTTATTTTTTTTTCTTCTTCTCCCCAAAGCCCCCCAGTGCATAGTTGTATATTCTAGTCGTAGGTCCTTCTGGCTCTGCTATGTGGGGCACCGCCTCAGCATGGCTTGATGAGTGGTTCTAGGTCGCACCCAGGGTCTAAACCGGCAAAACCCTGGGCTACCAAAGCAGAGCACACAAACTTAACCACTCGGCCATGGGGCTGGCCCCAAGACTGTTTTAAAAAATGAATTAATGAGTTAAGTAAATAAATCATTGAAAGCATTAAGTTAAGTGACTTGATGAACCTATGGGTATTAAAAAAAAAACAAAGTCCAGTCCATCAACTTACATGTTTCCCATAGGAAAATCTTGATTCCAACTTCAGAGTTTAAATAAAGTATCTAAGCAATAGTTCTTCCTAGGGAAAACATAATAGAAAGTTTACAAATAAGAGAAAAGCAGCATACAAAGGGAGCTGATTCCATAAATCCTGATTATTTGCCCAGTTTCGGAGTCCTGATTTTCCCTTCTGCAACATACTTCTTGGTGCCTAGCATGTAGATCTTACATATGTAAGTATATGCTCCCTAATTGAATGTATTTCTACCCTGTGCAAGGTAAAAAAAAAAAAAAAAGAAGAAGAAACAGCTTCCTCAATTGTTCTTCTCCTCATTTCTTTACTTGGACCAACATCCCATCAAAGACAAGAATTTGTGAGAGTTCATGGGGCTGTGGCCTTTTTCAAAGAGGCCTAGGAGCATTCTGTGCTCCGGGAATAGACATCGGCTTGGCTTGGCCTACTGTATGTGTGACCTTTTTGGAAGCCTAAACACACATACCTGCCACCCTATAAATGTTGGGAACAATAATTCCAACTTCTTCCAAGACAAGGATGCTGGTCCTACCCTGCCTGGGTCAGTAGTTGGAACTGACTCTTTTGGAACACAGTTCTCCATGGTAGGTTGCTTAGGATGTTCTGCAGAAAGAAGCGTCTTCTCTACTATTACGTCAGCTAGTTAGAAGAACAGCTAAAAGTGAGGGTCTGTGGCCTAATGAAGGAATCATACTGTCCTAAAACCCTCTAGGTGAGTGCTTGCCAATTTATGAGTCTGAGGACTCCATTATAATTCTAAAAGATTTTGTAACTCCCTTTTTTAAAGTAACAAAATTTGGTAGCAACAAATGACTGCAAATCATGGGATATAATCGTGGGGTAAAGATAGAGGATGACTAAAGTCCCAAAAGCAGAGCCTGAAGTGAGAAAGGCTATTAATGATTTTTTTCTAGAGCACCTACCCACCACTGAACATAACAGAGTATATGTGAGATGTATGCATTTATATATAGACTGTATGAGAATATGTACATATTTGTATGTATACGTGAGATATAACAACTCTCTGCAGAGCCCTCCCCAGTCCCTTCCTCCTTGCCTTCCCCCCACCCAGGATTCAAAGCCGGTGAGGTGGGAATCACTGCTCCAACTTTTACAATCAGAGGGTTATTTCAAATCATATCCATTTGAAACTAATTCTGAATGAATTCTTGATCTGAGTCCTTTCTTAAGTCCCTTGCAGTCAGCAAACTAGAGCAGTAAAGATAAGATGAAGATTTCCTGAGAAGTTCTTTAACCACCGCAATCTGAACCACATTGACTATGAGAACAATAAAGCACATTAGTAAATGATACAAGCCAAACAGTTGGGAAAAATAGTAAGCTTTCTAGAAATTCAGGAAAGAGAGTTTGGACTGGGCTAGTCAGCTGAGCCTCGAAAAATAATTTATATTTGGACAGACAGAAAAGAAAACCGGGAATATTCCAGATCAGAGTGAAATAGCTCAAAGTTATAAAACATCTGGATAGTGTCTTACACGTAGAGAATCCAGAATATTTTTCAAAAATTTTTATTCAGATACATAAAGCATGTAGGCAAAGTTTAAACTTGAAAGAGAAAGATGGAAAAACTAATTAAGGACCAATTTTAGAGGATCTTAAACGAGCTTAGAAGTTTCCTCCTTAATATCCCACTTTTCCTGCCCCCTCCAAAAAATCACAATATATTCCAAGTGAATAAAGAGCAGTTAAATGTTGAAAGGGTGAGTCCCTAGAGTCCTCTTAAGTAAATGAAGGAGAAGACATTTGACTATTTAAAAATACACATAAATTATTTTTGGTTAACTTGGGTAAGCTATAATATGACTGTATTCCACAGGTCACTTTGTTTCTTGTAGAATAGTAATAGTTCGCCTCTTTGGGGTCAAATAACTGATTAGGTATTACCTGTATTAGAATCTTAGGGAGGTTGAATTGAACAAAGAAATAAAATGAAAACAAGATACTTCAGTATAAGAAAGAAAAAAAAATAGGATGGTTCCAGCTAGTGATCAAATATCAAGATCCTCCAGTGCTGGAGAGGAGATTCCCTTTCATGCTAGGTAATAGCCCTAGAGTCATGAATAATAGATGGGTAGGAAGCATATATTTAATAGGCTTTTCTCTTGGTCTTGTTTTATGTCTTCTGTCTAGGTATTTAATGTGTGTGTAACATATCTATATTTAATGGGTTGAAACTGCTAAATAATTAACCTAGGTGCTGGGTGATTTACTCACTGGATGGGTGAATGCCATAGAGAGACTTTTACCTTGAGGTCAGTATATTAGAGTAGGCCTGGTGATGAGTACATCAAATAGAAATGTCCTTGTTTGAGACTGACCTATTACAATTGAGAGTTTATTCTTCTTCAGGGACTGTGCCCAGACTTCTTCTCCTGTATTAACCTATGTCATGGATGAGGTTCACCTGTGTGACACGCTCCTATGGGTATCCCTGGGATGCTGCACAATCCCCTGGGTGATACCATCATTCCATCCTCTGTCGCATTCATGAAGGAATGTTGGAGTGAATAGTGTCTTATGGTAATAAGACTTATGATAATGGGGAACCTTGAATCTTCTATAAAAATGCAATTAAAAAACTAACGTATTTTATTGGTTAAAAAAATAACTTTTTTAATGTAATATTTCTATTTGTGTTTAGTATTTGTATCCACTTAGATAGATGATCATATGGGTGACAATGACTTCTGATTGAATTGCCAAAATTGAAATTTTCTGTGATTCTCCATACAGAATGCTTATGCCATGTATATATCATGAGGTAAAGATAGAGGATAACTAAGATCCAAAAAGCAGAGGCATAGATTCAGGTACCTGTGAGCGCTTGAAGGAATGTTCTCTAAAAAAAATTCTAAGAGAAAGCAAGGTAGAAAAGAGGGGAGCAGAGCAGAGCAAGGACATGGTCTCAAGTAAGGTCTAGCCTATAGCTCATTCTGGAGAGGAGTATCTGGAACATAAACTGCATCTCAGAGTTATTCCCACCTGAGGCAAGGAGGCTGGCCTTTTTAAAAAATCCCTGTCTCAGTCAGTCATTGGTCTGCCCCTTGGTGGTGGTGGTAGTGGCAGTAGGGGTTGGGGAGTTTTGGAGCAAAACCTTCTATTCAGTTCTGCAGAGAAGAGGGCAGCTGGAGGTGGTAAGCAGCCAATACTCACAGCAGCAGGGGCCAGAAAAAAGAATCTATGTGAGGATACCAATGGCATTCTCTGCAGAGGACAAGTAATTGTGCTAAACCAAGATGCTTGGTTACTTTGTCCAATTTACCTGGATCATAATGGGTAGTGTAACTAGGGTGTCTTTGATTTTGAAGTGGTATGAACTACTTCTAAAAGCAAGTAGATGTCTGCCTAGTGATCTTTTGAATATGACCTGACTTTGCCAGGACTGTATAGTGGAACAGAAGTAGCTTCTGTCCTGAGGAACTTCTGTCCGATGGGTCAGTATCCTGGGGATTCTGTGTGGTGGAAGACATCTGACCCTGGCAGGACACTCCAATACCATTACGGAACTGATGGTCCAATTAAAGTGAGGTGTAGGCTTGAGCAATTATCTGCTTAATTTGGCATTTATCCAGATGGTTGGCTTGCAAATTAGAAAAACATTAAGGCTAAACTAAAAGT